TGAAGAGAGAGGAAGACGACAGGGTGTCAAGAAAGACAATGGTCCCAGGGAGAGTGAATTTAATCCTAAGCCTCAGGGACAGCCATTTGAGAACTGTGAAGAAAAGCAACATTATCTGATTTGTATTTTAATAAAAAAATATGTGAGACGGAGTGGGAGGTGGAATCAGCTAACAAATACTTCTAGCCCCAAAATTTAGAGACATAAAACACCACCAAAGAAAACCCAATAATTTTAAACTCTAAGTTTCATTTAGACCAGATTTATTTGCTCCTTTCATCAGAATTAATATGAGGTCCTTCTTTTATTCTCCTTCGGCATTCTGATGGGTTCATACAACCTGACAACTGTGCTTTCCTTCACCAAATTCATTCTATGTTTAAATCTCAAATAAATTCATGTGAAGAAGCTAATGGTTGATGAAATTAAATAATTTAAGCAAAAATGAAAGTTTATCAAAGTAAAATATTTCAGAAGACAAATACTGTATTTTTGTAGTAATTTCCAGTCATACCAGATTAATGGGAAGAGAACCTGGAGGAAAAAATCTTTGAGGGTAACAGGCTATGAAAATGAGAGAAGCCGGGCATAGCAGTGTACACCTGTGATTCCAGGAACCGAGGTGGGGGCAACTGAGGCAGGAGGATTGCAAGCCAGAGACCAGTCTCAGCAATTTAGTGAGACTCTGTCTGAAAATAAAAAAGACTGTAGTTTTGTGGTTGTTATGGTTTGGAAGTGAAGTGCCCCCCCAAAAGCTGACGTGTGAGACAATGTAAGAGGGTTCAGTGGGGAAATGATTAGGTTGAGAATACCTTAACCCAATCAGTAAATTAATCCCCGGATGGGATCAATTGAGGTGTGGCTGGAGGAGGTGGGGCACTGGGGTGTGGCTTTGGGGTATAAATTTGTATTTGTCAAATGGAGTCTCTCTCTGCTTCCTGCTCATCATGTGACCGCTTCTCTAAGCCACACTCTTTGCCATGATGTTCTGCCTCACCTTGAGCCCCAAGGAATGGAGCCAGCTTTCTATGAACTAAGACCTCTGAAGTTGTGAGCCCCCAAATAAACTTTTCCTCATCTAAAATTATTCTGGTTGGGTCCTTTTAATCACAGCAGCAAAAAAGCTGACTAAACCAGTAGTAAAATGTCCTGAGTTTAATACCTGGTGGAAGGAAGGAAGAGGAAGGAAGGAAGGGAGGGAGGGAGGGAGGGAGGGAACAAGAGAGGAGACAGTTTTGTCTATGAGCAGAATTTCTGGCATTGCTCATCTGCATTCACAAGGCCTACTGCCCCTTGGGTCACTGAAACATCTGCAGCTCTGGTTGTTGCCTACAGGTAACTCACCAATAAACTTTGAGACTCTTGCCTAATTTCAATGGGTCTTTAAAAATTATTAAACAAATAGTATGATTATTATAGGTTCATTGGGGAAAAAATGTAACATTGGATAGCAATTGATGCCATCCTTCTCGATCTGTCCCCAATAAATGCTTCATTTGTTTTCTTGTTACCAAAATCCACATAGCAGTTTTGAGTTACAAGCATTATAATGTCTGGTGTCAAGGAAGGCAGTAAGGAGAGCATGGAAGAGTTCAATAAAAATTCCAGGATTCCGCCAGGCATGGTGGTGCACACCTGTAATCCCAGCAGCTCGGGAGGTTGAGAAAGGAGAATTCGAGTACAAAAAGCCAGCCTCAGCAATGGTGAGGTGCTAAGGAACTCAGTGAGAACTTGTCTCTAAATAAAATATAAAATAGGGCTCAGGATGTGGCTGAGTGCCCCTGAGTTCAATCCCCAGTATCTCCTCCTGCTACACACACACACACACAAAAAAAAAAAAAAAAAAAAAATCCAGGACTCTAGCATACTCTGTCCTCCCCAATGCACCTTAAACATACGAGAAGCTGTTATACTAAGTGGCTCTGACATCTAAGCATCCTTTGGATGAAAGCTAAGGTAGAAATTTAGAACAAGCAGGCTCTCCGTGGGCCTGGAAAATGAGGAAATATTCAACATACCCTTCCTTTCATTACCACTCACTCTCATGATAGGTGATTTGGCCCCAGTACGTACCAGAATGAAAAGGGTTAGCAGCTAGAGCTAGACAGCACTTAGGTCTATCCTGTTTATGTGCGGATATAAAGAATGAAATGGAACCAAGAAGCCAAGTACCTTCTGGCTCCACAACTTCCCAAGCACAGATGATCCAATAAGTGTTCAGTGATGTCTTATAGGCCCAGAGCAAGTAGCGTAGTGGGTAAGAACACAGGCTTTGGTACCAAATAGATCAGATTTGCGTCCTGGTTCAAAATGGACAAATAACTTATTCTTTTAAAGCCTTGATTTCTTACAACTTTTAAAAAAGATGATAATCTACTAAATCTTTTTTTATAGTTTTTAGTTGTTGATGTACTTTTATTTTTAATTTATTTATATGTGGTGCTGAGGATAAAATCCAGTGCCTCACACATGCTAGGCAAGTGCTCTGCCACTGAGCTATAATCCCAGCCCCTTCTACTAAATTTTTATTTATTTATTTATTTTTTTGTGTGCTGGGGATTAAATCCAGGGCCTTATGCATGCAAGGCAAGCTCTCTACCAACTAAGCTATATCTCCAGCCAAAAAGATGAGAGTCACACTATCTCCTGAGATCCTTATGAAATGGAGTGAAGTGAGGCAAATAAAATGCTTAGCACTGTCTATGAAAAGTAACCACTCAAATACTCACAATTATTTTGATTGATCATTGAAAAAGCAAAATATAAGGCTCAAAGTAATGAAAGCCATACTAAGAACTAGTTGTATATACACTAGGTTAGGTGATGGGCAAGAGCAAGAAAAAAGGCAGTAATTCCAACTTCTGCCCAATATTTTTTTAAATGTGCCTAAGCATGGAAACACTGGGAGCCATTATTTCTTTGGGTTAAACAATAGCTCATGAGATAGGTACTCATAAAACCCACTGTTTACGTCCTCTCACAGTCTGTATTGTACTTTCATAGTACTACATCTACTAATGACATAATAAACTCAAAGGTCGATATAAAAATTAACTCAAAATGGATGAAAGACCTAACATAAGCTAAAACTATAAAACTGTTAGAAGAAAATAGGGGAAAAGCTTCATGACATTGGATTTAATGGATATTTCTTGGATATGATGCCAAAGACACCAGAAATAAAAAAAAAAAAAGTAGATAACCAGCACTATACCAAAATTGAAAGAACACTATCAATGCTTGCATAAAAGACACTACAAAGAGCTGGGCATGGTGGCACATGCCTGTAATAAGCAACATGGGAGGCTGGGGCAGGAGGATCCAGAGTTTAAAGCCAGCCTCAGCAACTTAGTGAGAAGCTAAGCAACTCAGTGAGACCCTGTATCTAAGTAAATTATTAAAAAAAAAAAGGAAGGTGGGTGGGTAGGGATGTGGCTCAGTGGTTAAGTGTCCCTGAATTCAATGCCCAATACAAAAAATTAAAATAAGACACTACCAAGGAATTGGGCATGTTGGCACATGCCTGTAATCCCAGCAATTTGGGGGGCTGAGGCAGGAAGATTGCAAATTCAAGGCCAGCCTCAGCAACTTAGCAAGGCTCTAAGCAACTTAACAAAACCGTGAGTCAAAAAATAAAATTGGCTAGGAATGTGGCTCACTGGGTAAGCACCCCTGGGTTCAATCACTGGTATAATACTACTACTAATAATAATAATGTAAAATAAAACACCACCATGAGAGTAAAAAGGCAATCTATGGAATGGGAGCAATATTTGCAAATTATCTAATAAGGGGTTAGTGTCCAAATGATTTAAGAACTACAATTAAAAAAAAAAAATTTAAAAAAGGGCAGAGGGCATGAATAGACATTCTCCAAAGATGATATATAAATGGACAGTAATCACCTGAAAAGGAGCTCCGTATCACTAATCATTAGGGAAATGCTAATTGAAACCACAGGGAGAGACCACTCCTATTAATATGGTTACTGCGTGGCTATACAAATAAACAGACACAGAAAACAGCACATGTTCAGGAGGATATGGAGAAATTGGGACTCTTGTATACTGCTGGTGGAAGGTAAAACAGTGTAGCCAATATGAAAAACAGTATCATAGTTAAAAATTTAAAATAGATTTTCCATATGATCCAGCAATACCATTTTGCATATACATCCAAAAGAATTAAAATCATGGTCTCAAAGACATATTTGCACACCTATGTTCATATCCGCATTATTCACAATGGCTGACAGATGGAAGCAACCCAAATGTCCATCAGTGCATGAGTGGGTAAACAAAATGTGCTACACATACAAAAGAAGCCTCTGAAGGAAATTTTAACACATTCTTCAACATGGATGAACCCTCGAGATGGACATTCTGCTAAGCAAAAGGAAACTAAGATACTCTAAGAGATTTGATTTTGAAGGATCAACCTCTATATGATTCTACTCATAGGAGGTATCAAGAGTAGACAAATTCAGAAGGATAGAAAGTATAATAGTGGTTGCCAGGGTCTGAGGAGAGGGAGAAATTGGAACTAGTGTGTAGTGGGCATAGAGTTTCAGTTTGGGAAGATGCACTTGTTCTGGAGATGGACAGTGGCAACAGGTGCACAGCAATGCACATGGACTTGATGGCCCTAAACTGCAGGCTTAAAATGATTAACATGGTAAGTTTTATGTTGGGTGTATTTTACTACCATTTAAAAGAGCTATCATAATCTGATTCCCTCAAAATTAATCCACAAGAATGTAGGATAATTATGCTTCAACTGTTTTATAGTTCTACTTTAGGTATCCCTACTTAATTCTAGGTAATGATTTTTTAAAATTTAGACTTAGGTGCATAAGGGGAAAAGAACCATGTCTTTAATGGTGTGCTAACGTCACATTCACTTACTGAGGAATGTGATTTTCTTTCGTTGCCAAGACAGCAACTGTTGCTGTGGAAACCACACAAAAACAGGGACACTTCACTGAAACAAACTCCACTCACCTGCACAAAGATGCCCTTGCTTCTATACTCCTCATGGAGGCACTGAGAGAAGAAATCTACAAAAGCCTAGGGAGGCGGTGGGAGGGAGAAGAAAACACATTACATCAATCTGCCTCATTTGTAGCCATGGAAACAAAAAGTAATAAACTACTTAACACCATCATTTCTAATCATTCTTTCATTTCAAACACAGGAAAGATGTTTAAAAAAGCCTTCCAAACCTCAAGTGATTTTTATCTGCCACCAAATGAATCCTACAGACCCAAATTTTCATTTAACTGGAAAAAGCTCTTCTTAGTCTGTATTTTTTTCAAAAAATTATTTTCTAAGAAAAAATACTTTTATATTATTAAAACAAAGGATGTATTTCTGCTCTCTACTTGTAACATAAGCAGAAACACAATATGAATTCTCTCCTATGGGGGATTCTGTTGTGAAAAGGAAAAGAGCAAGAATCCTCTGGATGCTTCAGGGTGGCAAAATCCAAGCAGCACAGAGATGAAAGTGAGAGTCCATCTTCCGATAAATAATGCAACTTTAAATCTATCCATTGACTTTAACAGGCCCTTTCTCAAAGGTGAACTCAAGCTGGGATCTGAAATGCAAAGTACCAATATAGACTTCATGAAGGTCTGAATTGCAACAGTCTGCATCCATGGAGAACAAGCAGGAAACTGAAGTTGACCGATCACTTCCAACACATGCCATCATTGTAAACATGTCTATAGTATGTTTCAGAGATACTGAAAGCAAGTCCATTGCAAAGATTGTGGGGTGGTGTCAAGGTTCCTCAAAAAAAAGTAGTGACTGAGGTTTTTTAAGTGAAAAAGGAAGCAAGTGGTTTGCTCTTTTCCTTCACTGGCATGTAGCAAGTTTTTACTATGTATTATAAGTTGCTTATTTTGCCCTAAAAGCAAATTTTGCCCTTCAACATCTAAATAGTCATTTTTCCCTTTGGAAATGTATTCCATGCTCAATAATGTATTGGAACATGATGCTACTGACCTGCAGGCAGAAGAGATGCATTCTATATATTATTATCCTAGCAGTAATGTGAGGTGAATGGAGATGTTGTATGAAATTATGACAAATTACACAAAGTCTGGAAAATTCTTGTTCACACCCCAGAAGTGACACTGTATATCTGTGAATTCTGCATAATGTGACAGAACGTTACACTTTCCCCAGTCTAGGTTGGCATACTGCGTACATTTATGTGCTGACTGGATGCAATTCTTCTATGCTGTGTGAAACTGACTCATTCACATATCAAACCTCCAATCTCAGACTCATTAGCATCATGTTCCAATTAAGAGAGTAACTGGCCCAGGCTAGCTTTCCATGGAAAGCACAGTATCACTTTTAAAACCAGAAAATAACTGGGAGGAAAACAAGCACCAGCGGCTCTGATGTGCTGTTGTCCCATTTGTAAGTTTACACCTATCCGTATGTCTCCAGCTGTGGCTTCCCCAAAATTCATGGGGGGTATTCCTTTTTCTCTTAATCCATTGGAAAATTGCCAAGAATAGATATTCAAGAAAGTTAAGTCTATGCTAATTACTTGGATTAAAAAAATCATTCCTTAGTCTTATATTCACCTTGGTCGCAGAGTAGATGGCCAATAGTGGAACCGGAAACACGCCACTGGCAGAGGAGATGTTCAGAATTGCACCTTTAGACCTAAAAAGGAAAATGTGCAAAGTCAATGGAATGAAATCACATACACAATTGTGTGTGAACTGTACACTGAGATGTATAATTATTTGAAACAGAACAACATAGCTGCTCTTCTAACACACAGCTCTCCCTGCCTTTCATCAGTGAGTGATATGCTTGGTTAGTGAATGAGGCGTAATTCAATCAAACTAAAAATAGCTCTTCTTTATGGTGAGTTCACTTCCCAGTCTCAGTAATCCAGAGCATGACGGGATCAGATCTATTCTCCTTGAGCTGATCTCTTATTTCTGAGGTCTTCTCTGGTCAAAGCATCAACAATGTTCATTTAAAGAGCTGAGGGTAAGTAGCTCAGTGATAGGGTAAGTGTTTAGCATGCACTGGGCCCTGGGTTTGATCTCCAGAAACACACACACACACACACACACACACACACACACACACACACACACACACACACACACACACACTCATTTATAGATGTTCCGTACATGCACCTTTATTGTGGAATATCATCCCACATTAGCTTGCTCTAGGATTTAAAGCATTCTATTTGCAAAAATATGTTACCCTTCAACAAAATCATAAACTTCTGGGAACTGAATCCCACTTTTCTTCAAGCACTATGCAAATGCAGAGTATGGAACAAACAGGTGCTTAAGAAAATCTCTGACAATGAATGAATAGCTATATCCTGCCCTCATGTTTTCCCTGGTTTGTAGATATTTGGGCACCAAAAAGCTGACTCCACAACTCTATGGCTCTAGTTCACTTATGTGTTCTTTTGCCCAAAGCCAAAGCTTGATTCCTTTTTTAACTTTTAGAGACTACTTCCAGTTAAAAGTCAGAAAGTTACCTGGATTTTCTAATTCTATAAGCAAATGAAAAATAGTTTGAGAAAAGCAATGCTGTGAGCCTACTAGCTGTTAGCAAGCACTTGCTGGTAGGAAACACATACAATCATGACTTCAGGAATGTTAGAACTAATGACCAACTCTTCCCCTCATTCTGTTCTTCTGAGGGGTTCTCTCCCTGTGCTGGGAATTGAGCCCAAGGTCCCACATCTGCCAGGCAAGCCTCTTCTACTGAAGGTCCTCTTCTTCAGCTACTGAAATCGGACCCCACCCGTGTCCCATCCTCCACAGCAGGTTCCTCTTCTTCAACCCAGTTTTTCATTCTTCTTTGTCTCCATTTAATTCCCCAAAGCCTGTTTTTTAAAAGTATTTTTAAAAAGGGGGACTACCTAGACCCTTTTTAGGCAAAATAAGAGAGGAAACATGATTAAATGGCATCTCAGTTATTTCAGACATAAATCTGAAAAAGAAATAATCCCCAAAGGTCACCCGCTCCATCTGCCAGCCTCTAGGCAAGATGCCACTCCAACCATCAAAGGGAAGTCTGGATCCTCAGTTTCATGTGTCACCGGAAACAAGCTGGTGGTGCTTTGTGTATTTCTGTGGTGTGTGTGTGTGTGAAGTCCTTATTAGTAATACATACGTTTTTAAACAGTAAAATCCATTAACGTTTGGTGATAGAAATAAGATTAAGTTTAAAAATGCTATTAAGGGTTTTGAAAAAAGCCATTGATTCACGAATTACATCATTCTTGTATTTTTTTTTCTTCTGTCTCTCTCAGAAACAGCAGAGCCTTTTATTTTTTAATTTTAAGGTAACTTTATCAGGAGTTAGAACCCAATCCTCTAAGATTAAAGAGAAAAACTGACTAACAATGAACACCTAGTCACTTCATTTTATCTATATTTGTAACAAATTCTTTTGATAAAAATGGAATAAAAATCACTTTTGTTACAGGAGACTTTTAATACAATATTAATTTATCTTTAAATTATCTTCATATTTTTAGGATGCTGAAATTAGACCATGGTGATGGTTGCATAGCTCTGTGAATATGCTAAAAACCACTGAACAATGCATTTAAAATAGATTTTAAAGTATGTAAAATATATCTCAATAAATCTATAAAATGAGAGAAAATACATATTTACGACACATGAGAATGCATCACCTTTAAGCAGGGTCAGATCCCAATCAAGGGAAAGCTAAAAGAGTGACTCTGTGGTCTACACCACGGTGTACTTTCCAAGAAGTAACCCCAAATCCTGACCAATGAACCCCTTTTTTCTCATATAACCAAGAATTGTTATCTCCTCACTCATACAGAGCAAGTAAAGAGAAGGCAGTTTGAGGAAGATAAAGATCATGTTTTTTCACTGACGCCACTGTCTACCTTTGCTGGTTTTTGTTAGCTGAATTCTGTACTCTACTCCACTCACACTAGAGGGGGTGGTTGTGTTTGCCCTTGAACAAAAATCTTACATTTCTTACTTCATTTCTTGCCAAAAAAAAAAAAAAAGCAATTTAAAAGCCTTTATAGGTATGTTTAACATTATCAGATACTTCTTAAAAATTAAATCTTGAACTCATTCAACAGGCTCTTAAAAATTTTATTCAAGGAAGCCATGATTCTAACATTAAAGATAATAAAAGCTTCTTTCCCATTTTCAAAAATTATTATCAATAATGCAATAAGTCACAATCATACAGTCATGCTCCTTCACTTGTTTACTCCCTGAGGCAACTAAGATCTTTGTTTCCCAAGTATTCTACCCTGATTTAAAATTCTAGGGGATAAAGTTACTTTCAGCAAAAAGTCAGAATTTTAGGTTACTTTTATAAAGCACAGTATTTGCATTTTAAAATATGTTCAAACAAATCTAAGACTATTCAGATGCTGCATAAAGTGAGAATGTATCACACCTAAGAAGTAAGAGGACGGCATTTACAATTATACCCAAATGACAGCAGAGAAAGCACCCCCTCTACAAATCTGTTCTACCATCAAGAACACGTATTTGTCAAGCAAAAACCTCCCACACCCACAACAGCATACAATTCTGTCTCAGTCTCACTCTTTTTCCAAGGATAATACTATTCAACTTAGTTTTGTCTGAATCACAAATAACACTGGTACTGCTTGTCTCGATTGTCTACTGTATACACTATCCTTTATGTTGAAACGGGCGTGAACCTTTGGGACTGGAAGGCACAAAGGATTCGTCTTTAAAAATCAACGACTTTGTCTAGCTCTAATCCTCCATCTAAGCAGAATTAGTGACGTCAAACCAGTTTCCATGGCACAGCCAGACTCATGACAACTCTGTTATATCAAGCAGAAGGACAAAATGGGCTGCGCTTAATTGCACACAGAAACAAACATAAAACCAAACCCTGGTTAATCTCTCATTTTCCAGGGACTTGGGAATAATTCTAAGATTGGAAGGTACATTAAGAATTTTTTGCTGAAGTTCTATAATGAAGACTCACTCATGTTGCTCATATTTCAGCACATTTTCTAGTTTGTTATGACAAACATCCAAATAAACAAGTCAAGAAATATTTTCTGTGGTGCAACATTTTTAATTCATCATACTGCTTACTTGCTAACAGTCCACAGTGCTGTCTCAGTGGTGCAAATTACTGAGGATCTACTAGAACTAAAATATTGCAAAAACAAAGCAGAAAATTTCAACTGCTCAAGAAGCGCCTCTCTTCCATTAGGAGTCCTCCCACATGCCAAGCAAATTCACCCAACCCTATAACATTTAGAACCCTGCCTTTATAGCTTCCTATAGCTATGCGGTCTACAATTCCCTCAGACCTGTGCAATTTCCCATAAGGCTCTCTTTAGTAGTCACCTGAATAAAAAAAAACCTGCCAAGCCTCTGTCCTACAAATGTCCCACCATTCGTAGTATCCTTGCTCTCACCTCTTTAAAAAATACTATTGTCATACAGGAAGCAATAGGTCTCCTTTGAAGTAAGTCACTGAGTTCTGCCTTCCTGGGGAAACCTCAGCACTGCCTTACTCTGCAGGTGAAGAGGTGGAGGTGGGGAGGTGTAAATGCTACTGTGAAGAACTGGAACCACAGGGTCACTCACAGTGGGGACAGCTACCTTGTGCAGGGTTTGATGGCAGACCAGAGGGAATATGCAGAAAAGACTCCATCATAGTTATTCACATTCCCACTTCCTATCAGAGAGGACATAAGCATGCTCTTACAGGGTCATTTTATATATATATATATATAAAATATATATATATATATATATTTCTTTTTTAAAAAAACAAACGTAATGCTGACTTTGGTGTAGAGAGTTCTCGGAGACTCTCAGAAGACAAGAGAAACGTACTGAAATAGAGTTCTATGTCAGAAAAGAATCCTGGAACATAGGGGTCAGGTATATAATTAGAACCAGCAATTCAAAAACTTACATTATACAAATATTGCTTTGTTAAAGAAAGTTTGCAAACATTTAACACATGAAAGAGAATTACCTGCCCTAAAACACCATAACATGTCATAATTCCACCTTAAGCAATACAATATGAAAGAGGCTATTTTTAGCCTTTCCATGGTTGTTATGGCAACCACCTCCTGGCTCCAGCTGTACACAATGTTTATAATTCCAAGGAAGTAAAAAGACCGAGTTTCCTCTGTAATACAATTATGTACTTTCTACTTCTATGGTAATAATACCTTAGTTTGATTATTGATACTTGTTTAGTGATAGTCAGTTGGCCTTAGGCTATAGTTCTAGAGGGTTTGGAAAATCTCATACATGAGAGGCAGAATCAATGGAAGGAAAAGGGGGAAAAAAAAAACACAACAAAGCTTCTTTCTAAAGGATACTGCTGTTACTCAATGGAGATACCAATCCTATGAAACCAGTTATAGGAAACGGGCCATTTTGGGGTGGTGTAAAGAGCAGGCTATAATGAAACCACTTATAATGTGTAAGACAGACTGCTTTCAGGTAACCTGTTCACTTGGAGTTTTCTTTTCTTTGGGACACACAACTAACACTTCTGGCCTTCCTTGTAGTTAACTGTAGTCTGTGACCAACTGAGTTCTTGACAATGGAAAATGGGCAGAAGTGATGGATACAACTTTCAGGGTAGCCCATGAAACTCCCCTAAAATCACCCTGGTTCTCCTTCCCTCATGTGCATGCAGAGGAGAACCTAAACAATGATGGAGCCCTTAGCTGGAAGGAGTTTAAGATCCCTGAAGGACTAGGGAGAGATGTGAGGGAAAAATAAATCTTTACTGTGTGAAGCCTACTGTCTGTTCTGCAGTTAGACTATCCTGATGAATATACTGAGCAACTCCCTAAACTCCAGTGGACGTAGATGTTGCTTCCCCTAATCAAAAGCTCTGATTCACAGAATCCATGCCCATCTCTCACTAGTCCTCAGCAAGTAACACAATCGCCCCCATGATGTCAGTTTCCATCCACAGCTTTGGATGGCTTTCCACCAGATCACTTCTCAATTCTGGTTTAAAATCAACTTGACTTCTTCAGGGCAAGGATACAAAACATCTTTGGAATGCTCCATAGTAAATTTTACTCAATGGAATGCCTGTTAAATGTATGAGTTATTTTCTTCACAGTTTTTTTTTTGTTTAACCTAGTGTTCTAACTATAACTGACAATGGCTGCTAGGTCTTCCAAGACAGCAGTGAAGTTCGTAGCTCTTCACATTTGTAATCTTTACTCACTTGTCATTTAACTTTATAGCACTCCATTTGTCTGGACATAAGTTTTTTTCACCTCTCAAATTGGGGGGTTGCTTTCAACTAACATAAAAGACTAGATTTCTATGACTCTATCTAGTACTTGATGTTTTGTGAAATGATTTCACAACCATTATCCCTTCTGATGTGTTTTCCACCAAAATACTCAAAACTTTCTTTTACAATACTTCTGTGGTTTACAAGTTTTTGTTTTATTTATTTTTTTGAGGTAATGGGGATTGAGCCCAGGGCCTCACACATGGGAGGCAAGCATTCTTCCACTGAACTATACCCCCCCACCCACCTATTTTTTTAATGGATGGATTTATTGTCTTCAAATAATACCATATCATCTGCAGATGTTAAACCTTAATTAAGATGATGGGCAAAACTTCATTCTTAATGAGTTCTGTTCTGTCTTCCCCAACTCTACCCTCTTCCAGGGTTCTGCTCTGGTTAGATCACTGCTATTCCCTGTCTGGAGATCAGCAGCACACTCCTGCTGGCAGCCAATTGTAAGAGGCTTGAAAGTTTCAAAGGGAAATTTACAAAAATAAACTACTACAACACACAAAACAGTATATATAAAATGGATTTACAAAGAACTTTGCTGAGCAACAGTTTCTTAATTAGTCTCTGTAGATCCTCATCTCTAAGAGTTACATGAGTTAACACATATTAAATTGTCAATACAACACCTGACACATAGAGGTCCCCAAGAAACCTAATCCCCGCCAGGAGCCAGTGGTGGAACTCCTCAGCAGAAGTCAGTCCTCAGGTCCTTCCTTTCCAAAGCTGGGAGTTCTTTGGCTCTCTTCCAAACTCAGAACAGTTTGCAGAGGAAGGAGATTATAAGGCCCTAAATTCAGCAAATGATCAGACTGGTTCAAGGTTTTCTTTGGAGGCCCTGCCATCACTGAGGTTTTTCCAAGGGAGGAATAGAGCTTAAGTATAATTTTACACTTCATGTTACTTCAGCTGTAAAAGCTCTACCACATGGTCTTCCTTAAAAATGAAGCCATCCAGCACACCCTAGTGGTTCCCAATTCAAACTGGAACACAGATGAGACCAGTGGACCCTGATCTTAGGATCACTTCCTAACATGCCTGAGCTCCTCACACATCCATTCTCCTAGAAAGAAGTGGAGAACCAGAGGCATCTTGCTTCAAGAAACTACTGATGTGGGCTCTCAGGAGGAGCTTTAAGATGGCATTCCCAGGAATATCCCAGGAACTCCTCCCGCCCCCTCAGAATAGCAGGCAATTGAGTTAGTGATGGTGACTCAGGCTGGCTTTTTAATCCTGATCTAAAGGAACCACCACAACCCTGAGAGGGAAATAAAGAGTCGAGTGGGAAAGGCCTCCTCCAGTGACTCACACTCCACCGTGTGACTCGCCTGCCACTAAGACATGGAGGCTGGGCTCATTAGTCACTTTAATGAAATTTTCAAAGAAAGGATTCTCCCTATAAATAATAATGAGCTCCACATCCACAGTGTGTGTGAGAGAGCTTGTGACTCACCTTTCTACCATGCCAGGCAGCACCACTCGTGTCATCTGCAAAAAAGCAAACAAAACATGACGACCGAGGACACAGCAACAGCGTGAAGGACACCCACCCACACAAGAGAAGGGAATCACAAAGCCACTCAGCACTCAGACAGCAGCTTATTTTATATACTCTATATAATCTGGCTGTGTCAAGAGTGCATAAAAAGGGCAGCACATGAAATTACTAGAGGTGACACAGAATACTTTCAGTGAACTTGGCTAAAATTACTTGCCTGAAACACAATACTGGCCCAGGAGCTTCAAATAATACAGGATTTACAGTGAAATTGGTGGTTCCAGAAATGTATTCTCAGAAAAGGACATATGTTATCACAAGAAAGATCCTGCCTACCAAGATTACTGAAGCTTTCTAAACTCAAAAGCTCAATCTTCTGATTTAAAAAAAAAAAAAAAAAAAAAAGCTTTAGCAGAACGCTATAAAGTGTCATGTTGGCAAATATTAAGTGTATATTTCACTTAGTAATCATTTCTTTTGTTAGTCCCGCTAGCTGTAAAATTCATCCTTACAGAAAGTTAAGGTTATCTGTGGTCTCCAGTGGCCACCAATGAAAAGGTAATGTCTGCTTTCTTTGAGGACTTCATAACTGTGGCTAAATGCACATAATGATGAGAGGCTTCTTTTAAATTCTGTTTTGAGATGTTCTTAAGAAGAATAGTTCTGAAGACCAATGGGTTAGCCAAGATGACACTAGGGGTAAGAACTGAGGCTGGAATACAAATTCCTGACCCTGGGTAAGAGTCAAATTCTGGGCTGAGGTTGTGGCTCAGTGGTAGAGGGCTCGCCTAGCACACGAGAGGCACTGGGTTCATCCTCAGCACCACATTAAATATTTATTTACTTACTTATTTATTTATTTAATAAATAAATGTTTTGTGTCTGTCTGCAACTTGAGAAAATATTATTTTAAAAAAGAGACAATTTCTGTTTTGTAATACTAAAGTCAGAATGCATGCCAAAGTTTTAAACTTTCTGTCTTGAATATTACATGTTAATTAAAATGCACAGTATTTAGATGGGAAGGGAATCTTTTTGTCTAGAAGCACCCTACAAAAAGAAAGCACCACCCAGACTTCGCCCAGGTAAACTCTGCTTCATGGGCATCCAACCCAGACGTCAACCCTAGAGGTATCACATACTTTTCAGTGAAAATGCAAGTTCAATCTGGCACTGTGTCACAAAAGATGAATCATATACAGCCAATTTCAAAACAGAGGTATGTCCTCAAAGCACAAGGGAATCACTTCAACAGGGTGCATCTTTTGGCCCACATGAAAAAGGAGAAACCAAAGAACGAAAAGGCCTAAAACTTTCCTATTGCTCTTCTTACATACACGTCTACATTTTTTATACTAAAATGGCTAAAATGTGAACATGCTAATAAAAGGACGTAGGCCAGCTAACTTAGAGCTCAAGGTGAGAGCCATGTGCTAACAGTGGCAGAGCAATAAGATAAAAAGAGGCAGGTTTCCTGGTGACTGTGGAGCTACTATGACAAACCTTGATTACCTACCCAGCTTTGCATCGGAGACAGAAATTTCTGTTTTGTTTAAGCCACTACTGTATCTAAACCAATATTCTAATTAATCAGTTGACCATTTGTTTTGATAATGACTGATCAGTGTTCACATTTTAAGAACAAAAAAAAAAAAAAAAAAAACTGTCCCCAAACCAGCTGTGCTGGCAGCCCAGACTCAACAGTTCAGAGTTTTTAAAACAATTCCACCTTTTCTCTTTTCTGGGTTTGCTTGACCCCATTCAAAATGTGCCGACTGGGCTTCAAACCAAACCTTATGGAACCAAGTCAGAGAAAGAGCTGATTTCCCAGCCTACCCTGTCAGCACAGCCAGCTGTTCTCCTCTTGGACTGAGTAAGAGCTCTTCAAATTGTTTACACATTTCCTAAGACTTGTCCTTTCTAGAAGCACATAGTAACTCCTCTGCAGTTACTGAATTGCTACTTAATGCAGGTGTGGTACCTGGTTAGAGCATAGTCCTAATCCCAGCCCTTGAACTAACTACTGGTGTGACAGCTGCTCCTTCTCTGCAGTGTCCCATTGCAGTCAATGAAGGAAGTGTCTACACTACAGGTTACTATATTCTGAATCTCAAAAGAGGGAATGTGTATAATGGAATGAGCACAGAGAGAAGCACCTGAAGGGAATTGGTGTCCTTTATTGTCAGCCTGCACTACCCTTTTAGGAAGCAACACCACCAACTACCTGGTCCTACCTTCATACATGGGGCTCCCCAGATGGCCCAGAGCCAAAAACAATGGCACATTGTGAGGTTATCCAGTTCAGTTATTCACATAGAAGTTGCCGGCCAATTTTATTAATATTTTTAAATACCTTAGTTGGAATCTTCTTGGGGGTAGTTGAATTATCCTAAGATTAACTCATAACGATGACTGTACAACTCTAAATGTACTAAAAACCACTGAACTACATACACACTTGCATGTTTTATGGTATACAATTTAGTCCTCAATAAAACTGCTTATGAAATACCTCAATAATCATACAGATAAGAATTAAAGAACTGAAATTACATTTGATGTTACTTGCTGGGTTCCATGGTACATGCCTATAATCCCAGCAATACAGAAGGCTGAGGCAGAAGGATCACAAGTTCAAAGCCAGCCTCAGCAACTTAATGAGGACCTAAGAAACTTAGTGAGACCCTGTCTCAACATAGACAATAAAAAGGGCTGATAATGTAGCTTTGTGGTTAAGTGCCTCTAGGTTCAAACCCTTGTACCAAAAACCAACCACCACACCAACAACAACATCAAAAATTTGATGTTACTTTATCAAACCTAGGACGTAAAAAGTCACTCAAAGTGTTCTATGCATATCAACTTATAGCCTGGAACAATGGAATAACACCATGTTATAGCCTCTCTCTTTCACAGTTTTCAGAGATTGAACCCAGGGCCTCTCACATTCCAGCCAAGTGCTTTACCACCAAGCCTTAGTCCTGTTATAGTCATTCATGGGTTCAGCTGAGGTCATATTATCACCCAGAACCACACTCGATGTTGAGGGCTCAGTATCTAATGTGAGAATAGATATATACATAAATCATTATGTGATGATTCTCCGAGTGGATAGAGGGCACTGATGCTTAGAAGGACCAGTTATGCCTGGGAAACAGGTAGAGCTTCACAGATTAAAACAAAGTTTACTAGACAGAAAAGAAATTCCAGTAGAAGGGATAGAGTGTAAAAAGACATACAACTTGTGAGAAAATAAAATATACGTTATAGAATTGATGGATTCTAAAAAGTTATCTACTGGATGAATGGATTAAACAGATAAAGAAATAAAGTATGTACATTTGTTAAATACGTCATGCAACTTACGTTTGCATAAAATATTATGAACAGCTTCTCACACTAGTAAAACAGATGTACATGAGGTATGTCAACAGCTGTGGGATATTTTTTGGTAAAGATAGATTATATGCATTCTTAACGGTATCTAAACACTTTTTTCTATTTTGCATATTTCACCAGAGGGCCATAATGCTTAACTAATGTATAAAGAGGGCCCCCAAGTATTTTGTCCTGAGATCACCAGAGACAGAATGGGGAAGAGGACTGGTAATAAAAATGTCCTAACCTCTGTGTGTGTGTGTGTACATGTCCATTGGTGTTAAGGAAACAAGACTTGTAAGTTGCTAAATAAAGTCTGGAAGGGGTAGATAGTGCCTATTTAGCTTTCCCATACAAAAGAGAAGAGAAGAAATGAGATTTATAGGCCAGCAATCAATCTGGAGGATGACCAGGAAAGTCCACAAGATCAGCTAATGGACAGACACTGGCCAGGAATCCTAGTACTATATGAATACTACTAAGTAGTCACAAAGTTTTGAAGTTCAACTCAGTTTTCTTCCTAGATACAAATTTATACATTTAAGAATAATAAAACCTTTAGTTGGAATATTGGGGAAATACAAATACATATATCAGGAACTATTTTTTCCCTTATACCATGTGCATGCCATATTAAATGACTCATTCCTGAATGGCAAAAATTGTCCAGAAAATGATCAGAGAAAATGAATTCCTATAAGATATAATCATGCTAGGCACAGTGGCACAAACCTGTAATCCCAGCAACTGAGGGAAGGAGGATTGCAAGTTCAAGGCCAGCCTCAGAAACTTAGCAAGGCCCAAAGCTACTTAGTGAGACCCTGACTCAAAATAAAAATAAAAAACAAAAAAAGGGCCAGGGATGTAGGTCAGTGGTAAAGCGACCAGTGTTCAATCCCTAGTACAAAAAACAACAATAACAACAACAACAACAAAAATCTTGCTTATAAAATTATTAGTAGCACGCTAAACATTAAATGCTTTCTTGATGGTTTATGTGTATGCACGTGATAAAATATATATTTTATACATATGAATTAGAACTCAAGAAGTTTTAATAGCGCAAGTTAGGAAGAAATAATGCTTTTGATGCTCACCTATTAAAGACCCAGAAATAGGAGCTGGGCTGTAGCTCAGTGGCACAGTGCTTGCCTAGCACTTGTGAGGCACTGAGTTCCATCCTTAGCATCACATACATAAATAAAAACAAATATAACAAAGCGCCAGAAATACTTGTTGAATGCTTACTGGCCAAATGATTGATCATCAAAGACACACGTTCTCTTACGGAGAAGTTAAATTCTTCCTTATAGCTCATTAGCTTCCCTTTTAAAATTCTAAGTTCTTTCTCCTTGCAGGAAAATGGAACACTGTTTCCTTACCTGTCAAATAATAACACTGAAAAGACTGAAAAAAGTTAACTTGAAATCTGTATGCTTCATAAAACTAATGCCTTCATCTATTCTAAAACTATCTTTCTTTCTTTCTAATCAGATTGTCTTAATACATTCAATTTTAAGCCTTCTTTGATTGAGTATTTGTACACAAATCCTTCTTAATAGTCTATGCATAAGTGGAGATTTCTTTCACTATGTTCACATTAAATAAAAAT